GCTTCATCACGTAGGCATGATTGATGGATCACATAGACTAGATTGATTGACTCATTGCCCAGACGTTAATCTCAATCTCCCAAGTCAACTGATTCCCTGTGACCCAAAGCCTCCCACCGCTCCCATTACCTGGTTGGTGTTTCTGGCATGGCCAGGCCCCAGCCTGTCCCTACCCAGAACAAAGACATTCCCATCAGGTGTGATGTAGCTTACCTCTCAGAAGCTGAGCCCTCAAAGCTACATATCTCTTTGGACAAGGCCAAGTTCTTTATTCATCGCCCCCAGTAGGGAGCTGGCCAGGATTCCTCCTGCTAAAATGTCTGGATCTGACTTCAAGGCAAAAAAAAAAAAAAAAAAAAATCAAAGCTCCTCTGCCCTGTCTATTCAGCATTTCCTGGAATTTCAGGGAGAGAGAGCTTTTTTGTTTTTTTCCCAGAAACTTTTTAATCTTCTCCAGATGCATTTATATGCAGATCTTGTGGGGCAAAAAGCTGGGGTTTCTTTCGAAGCAAAGGTGGAGGAGTGAAAAGATTGTAATTTGGGGAGCGCTTATTTTAATGCCTTTTTTCCCTTGTCTAGATCTGGACTTCTCTGGATTTTGTGTCTCCAGTAAAGGAAACCCCAAGAGTACCGATCAGACCTTGAAGTCTAAAACTATGGCCCGCGTAAGTGTGTATTTCTGTTTCCTTCTTGAAATGTGATACTGTGGATACGTCTATGAAACAGTGTGAAGCCTCCTGCCCAGGCGAGTCCCACCTAAGTACTCACTTCCCGGCTCTGCCTGTTCCAACGAGTAATGACGCCGCATAGCCTGGCGCCCACCTCTGTGGCTCATGTTCACTTAACCCTTGAGCTAATTATTCGGTATCTCCTACGTACTCTTGTCAAGAGTAACTAGGGCCTCTGGGCTTAGAGGTCGTGTTCTTACCAGGGGACACGGGGGATAAATTTCGTTGTTGAACAAACCTGTCTGTTTGCTTCTGAATCATTTGGTACCAGTTTCCTCTAAATCAGGGACAAAGGAATGGCAGGGCTAGTGGGTGGTACCAGGTAAGGTTATTTTGTACAAAGGTAATAAATGATATACTCCTGGAATTGGGGAAAACCTTAGACATTTTACTCAACCTAAGTGTGTAACTGTAATAATTAAATCTAATCTGTCTGTATCATGGAATAAAAAAATGCCTTTCTTATCACAAAGACTGCTTAAAAGACAACCTGGCAAAGTGGTGAACTGACGCCTGAAAAATTCAAAGGTGCAAAGCCTGTTTTCTAAGAGAAAAGATTTTATATTAGATTTGGAAAGCAAGCCATGAGAGGTTTGGTTTTTTTTTCTTTCCCCTTAAAGGGAAAAGGAAGTTGTAGGAATCCACACTTGCTGAGAATTTACGAGGCAGGCCCGGAGCAGGCTCTGGGCTTGCGAACGGGAGGCAAGCTGGGACGGTTTTATCCGTTTCCTGACGGGCTGGCGCGATGAATTCCACAGGGCGTAGTGGTTTCCCTGCCCCGGTGGGGCTCGGCTCTTGAGGAACGTGTAGGGGCTCTGTTTCAGCCACGGCCACGTCCTCACTGGCCCCCGCCCGCGGGACAGGCTCGCAGTCGCTCGCTGCGTCTACCCGAACCCAGAGCGTAGCCCTGCCTCTCCTTTCCTTCCTCGTGAAACTGTCCTCCCGTTTCATCAGGGACGTGTGGGTTTGTGCTTTCAGGGTTTGGTGACATTCTCAGATGTAGCCATAGACTTCTCTCAGGAGGAGTGGGCATGTCTGGACTCCGCGCAGCGGGACCTGTACTGGGATGTGATGCTGGAGAACTACAGTAACCTGGTCTCGCTGGGTAAGTCGCCTGCCTCAGGGAACCGAAACTCCGCTCCCTGGAGTGTCAGCGCCCTCCCCTGTGAACTTGAGGACTGTCTTTCAAGAAAAGAATTGAATTTCATTCTGCCTGTGCCCAGGAAATGGTCTGAGCTTTGTCCAGTTGGAAATGGGCATTACGAACACACCTGGGTCTCCTGATCCGTCGGTGACCTTCCCACCTTTCTCTGGCCCCTCCTGTAATTGCCTTAGTGACCAAAGAATTAATTAGAATTATTTATTTTATTAGAATATTTATTTCATGACCATTTGCAAAGAAACCAAGCCTCATGCTATGACCTTACATTCGCACTCAAACTACTGGGTTTTGGGGTGTGTGTGTGTATGTGTGTGTGATATGAACAGGAGATTTTATTAGTAAAAAGGTAGTGAAATATAGTACGCCCCCGAGTGTTGGGGGCCGGAGAGGAAAAAGTGGCCCAAGTTGCTGTTGATGGTACTTCGGGGACCCACCTCTAGGGAAAACAGCTCAACACAGTGACTTGAGTTCCTCCAGTAAGCCAGCTTCTGTGTTTGATGTAGAAGTGGATTGAGAAACAGAATGTGTGTCAAACCAAACTGAGTGTATTCCGCTTCCTACACACTGTACCTGAACTGAGCTTGGAAGTTACAATCCATGAACTTTGAGTTAAACATTGGATGGTAACATCTTGTAAACATCTAAGGACATTTCTTACTTTTCTGTTGGGAAATAACAACCCTGATGTGAATAGTTCTGCTGTGCTTGCTCTGCACCAGGAAGCAGTCTAAGCACTCGTGTGTGTTTGTGTAAATGCATTTCATGCTCACAGGCTTGCGAGGCAGGAGCAGTTGTGTCTAACTCATGGATAGGTGTACGGGGCACAAAGTGACTTGGTCAGCCAAGGGGACAGAAGCAAGAATTGAACCTAAGCATTCTGGCCCCAGAATCCACACTCTCAACTGCCATATTCTATTTGCCTCTAGAAGTTTTCTTTTCCCTACCCGTCTGGTTTCCTGTTGGTCCTTCAACCCTTTCTCTTTTCTGAAGTCTTTATCATTTTGACATTTAGGTTGACTAAAGTTCAGTCAAAAATTTGGAGCCAACAATTTTTCCTAAGTTCTACATCATGTGACACTTCTTCTTTTGAAAGCATGACATCTCATTTCTAAGCCAGACACGACTGTCTGATGGAAGCAAGGGAGAGAGCTTTGCTGGTGGAGAGGGAAAAGGGAAGAGACACGAAGACAGTGCAGGGAAGAGGGACAGCCGTCTGGCCAAGGGCAGGCCATCGTCACCACGGGCGGCCGGCTGGGCAGGGAGCAGCTGCACCTGAGGTGCTTGGAGGGCTCCCTACACGGGTCCCAGGCCCAAGGCCTCTGAGGAAAACGTCACCACCTTGAACTTTAGTTCACCCCATTCCCCTCTCCATTTGTTTTTCTTCTCATATTTCACCCCTATTGAGTAGCAAGGGTGTGGGTAACACGATCCTGCGCCCTTCAGAGTTTCTGAAAGTTGGCTGTTATCCTAGCTTCCCGTGCTTTTTTCTTTTCTTTGTATCTGTTTTTTGGTGATACTGCTTCCTGGGTGCTCTGTTCTTCCACCATGAAGCAATATCTGGTTATGTCTCCTTTTGTGCTGTTACAGTCACTGACAGTACCTAGATTCACTGTTTCATTAGGGGTTCAGGATGGTGACATTCCATCATGGCCTCTTCATTTATTCACTGTAACAGTTCTTTAAACTGTGGTCCATCTTTTATTATCTGTGAACTCATGAATTTAAACATGTTTGGTATTTTGCAGTCCCTGATTGATGCTCAGATTGTTCTAAATACTTCCTCTTAAGGATCCCACAATCTATTTATTAAATTTCATTCTGCACATTGTCTTTTTTGGTTGCTTTTGAATGTTAGGTGTTTGTAACCAGAATTACTTTTAATTATATTAATTGAATACACACACACATATATATTCTATAGTTATCCAACTATCTGTTTCTAGTTTTTACAGCAGTTCTGTGTTTGATTTTCCTGGTTCTCCAGGTTCATCACCACATCTACAAATTGTACTCCTTTTCATCTTCACTTTTGGGATTTATCCCTCTAATTTCTTTTGCTTAATTGTTTCAGCTGATAGTAAACAGTAGGGCTAATAGTCAGTGCCTTTTTCTTATTTGACTTTAGCAAGACTCTCTCCAGTGTTTCTTTACCAAGTATTGTGGTGCCAGATGTGGAATCTACATTTTAATAAGAGCCCTAGGTGATTCATATTTCCCATTAGAGAAGTTTTATTTCTAATCGAGAAGTTTTTGGTTTGTGGTTAGATTTGTTTTTGTTTTCTTAAAAGGAAACAAAATATGTTGGGGTTTTGTTTTTTTGGGTTATTTTTTTTCCAGATTTGGAATCACCATATGAGACCAAGCGTTTACCTACACACAAGGGCATTTATGAGATAAATTTTTCCAAACGGAACTCAAATGGAAAAAGTAAATCCCTTGGCCTTGCCTGGATGTCTGAAGGTGAGTTTGAAGGACCACAGGCCCCTCAAAAGGGATATTTCAATCAGATGTAAACAACTGTGGGAAAGCTCCCACTTACAGAGAAAACGCCTCTGTCAGAACACACCAGAGACTTCACAATAGGGAAAATTCCTATGAGTGTAAGGAATGTGGGAAGGCCTTTAGTCGCGGCTATCAGCTTACTCAACATCAGAAGATTCACACTGGTGAGAAACCCTATGAATGTAAAGAATGTAAAAAGGCCTTCCGTTGGGGTAATCAACTTACCCAACACCAGAAAATCCACACTGGCGAGAAACCTTATGAATGTAAGGACTGCGGGAAGGCCTTTCGATGGGGTTCGAGCCTCGTTATTCATAAGAGAATCCATACGGGCGAGAAGCCCTATGAGTGCAAAGACTGCGGGAAGGCCTTTAGGCGCGGCGATGAGCTCACTCAGCATCAGAGATTCCACACTGGTGAGAAAGACTATGAGTGTAAAGACTGTGGCAAGACCTTTAGCCGTGTGTATAAGCTGATTCAGCATAAGAGAATTCACAGTGGTGAGAAACCCTATGAATGTAAGGACTGTGGAAAGGCCTTTATTTGTGGTTCGAGCCTCGTTCAGCACAAGAGAATTCATACCGGTGAGAAGCCCTATGAGTGTCAAGAATGTGGCAAGGCCTTTACTCGCGTCAATTATCTCACTCAGCATCAGAAAATCCACACCGGCGAGAAGCCTCACGAATGTAAGGAATGTGGGAAGGCCTTCCGCTGGGGTTCAAGTCTCGTGAAACACGAGAGAATCCATACAGGTGAGAAGCCATATAAATGTGCAGAGTGTGGGAAGGCCTTCAACTGTGGCTATCACCTTACACAGCACGAGAGAATTCACACTGGCGAAACGCCTTACAAGTGTAAGGAATGTGGGAAGGCCTTTATTTACGGGTCCAGCCTTGTCAAACACGAGAGGATTCACACAGGGGAGAAACCCTATGGATGTAAAGAATGCGGGAAGGCCTTCAGTCATGGCCATCAGCTTACACAGCATCAGAAGATTCATACCGGTGAGAAACCCTCCGCGTGTAAGGAATGTGGAAAGGCATGTAATCACATAAACCACCTTCAGGAACATCAGAGACTTCATACTGTTGAAAAACCTTTTGCGTACAAAGAACGCACGGTGGCCTCTGTCCAGCATTCATTTCTTCCACAACATGAGGAAAATTTGTGATAAAATGTAATATAACAAAGCCTTTACTGGTCGCCTTCCTGCTTGTAGAGTACCAGAAGTCATATTAGAGGTGAACTTGGAGAACGAAGAAGTGGCCTTTGCTTGTTGATCACAGCATAATCAGTGTAGTGACTTTTTACTGGATAGGTTAGTTTTATGAATGCATAGAAACCTTCTGGTACCATTTCATCTCTATCATAGTTCAGGTTTATTCTAGGGTAAAACCCTGTTGATGGAACATAAGTGGGAGAGCCTTTCCTCGTGGTACAATCCCTACCTGTTGTCATCACCGTCCCACCTCTTTACTCCCTGAGACCTGGGGAAATTAGCTGTTACCCCTGTGCATTGTGAAGTGGGGCTGATCACACCTACCTAATACTGCTGTTGTGGTGATTAAATGAGTTTGGTACCTGTACACTTGTTGAATGTGTATCTGGAGTATTTTGTAAGCTCAATAAATACTAGCTGTTGTTGTTCTCATTATTAGTAGCATTGCTGTTAGTAAATTATTAAAACCCCTGTGGGTGCAGTGAGTTAAGACTTAAACTTCTAGAAGAAAATACAGATTACTGTCACAACGTTGGGGTAGGCAGCGCTTCTTAGCACACAGAAGACACTAAATGTAACGTTAAAAATTATTAAGTTGGATTTCATCAAAAGTACAAAGTTCTGATCATTGAATGACACCATGAAGGTGGTGAAAAAGCAAGAAGCAGAGTGGGAGGAGATATTTACATACACCTGATGAAGGTTTCACATTGAAAGTACAAAGAATCCTTCAAGTCATTAATAAAATGACAAATCAGTTAAGAGGTAGGGGGAGACTTACATATGCATTTAAGATCACCAAATGGCCAGTAAGTAAGTGAAGATGTGTTAAACATCATTGCTTCTCAAGAATATGCGAAATAAAATCACCATGTGATGTCACTGGCCACTTGCCAGAAAGGCTGACATTACAACTGTATATGAGTTGTCTCTTTGTTGGATATTCAAACATGGCCTCTTAGGAAGGAACAGAACCAGCACAGTGGACCTCTCCAAGTCCTGGAGGTCCTGCAGCAGTGATACAGAGGTGATACTAGAGGGAGGCACGTGGGCTTGTCCCAGGGAAGGGGCCAGAGCCTGGGATCAAGTCCTGGAGGAGTTGAGGGAGCAGTTAGACTTAGGAGGGACTTGAGCTGTCTTAATTAAGAGGGTCAGTCCTAGAGTGAAGGGAGTATGTTGTCTTGGGGAAGGGACTTGAGTCCATGGTGAGGAATCTGAGACTGTGGGTGAGGGAAGGCTAGAGCCCATGGGAGTGAGTTTGAAAAAGTACCAGGGCATGGGAGGGCCTGGTACATGGGGAGTGATCAGCTAGAGCTCAGACAGGTCCTGGGAGACTGGAGAAAAGGGGAGAGCCCAGAAGAGGAGCCTTTGAGAGCTGGAGGAGGACTTGAATGCTGTCCATGAGAATAGCCTGGGAGATGTAGGGTTGTTGCTGAAGCCATTGAGAGAACCTTGGCACAGAAGATGACAGTGTGGTTAGAACCCAGAGGAGTGCCCTGTGGAGGCCAGCAGAGGGTCCAGAATCAGGCTGAAGTAGTGCTTATCTTTGGTTTATCTCAGAAGGGAAATTAGAAAATACATAGGAATGAAAATCAAAACAAAACACAACTCACGGGATGCAGTGGAAGCCATGCTTTAAAGACAGTGTATAGGAGTAAATGCCTACATTTAAATAGAAAAAAGATCTCAAGTAAGTAAACTAACTCTTCATGGTAAGAAACTAGAGAAAGAGCAAACTAAACCAAGAGCAACAGAAGGAAGAAAATAACAGGGATTAGAGTGGAGAAAAATGAAATGGGGAATTTTTCTACATGATAAAAAGAATTGACGGAGCCAGATGTTGGTTCTTTGAAAAGATAAACAAAATGGGCAAACCTTTAGCTAGACTGACCAAGGGGGTGAAAGTAATTTTGCAGAGAAGTCCAAGATCAATAGAGACGCTTCCAGTCTCTTCTAGGTGTGTGTGGCAGTGGTGAAACATCACGAAAGCATGGAAGCTTGAACATGCCAACATTGCAAATAACCACGGTAAACCTGGGTACATTCAGTTATACCAGAACAGGGATCGCCAAGGTTTTCCAGTTGAGAGCCAGATAGTAAATATTTTAGGTTTTACAGGTCACGTATGCTCTGGGTCACATATTCCTCTACTTTTTTAAATAGCCTTTTGAAACTGAAAACACTCTTAGCCTCCAGACCGTACAAAATCAGGGCCACAGGTGAGATTTGAGCTGTGGACTAGAGTTTACCTGACTACTGCACTAAACTAATAGGTGAGCATGGGAGAAAATTCTAGATCAGCATTATCCAATGTGGTAACAAATAGCGACACAGACTCTTGAGCACTTGAAATGTGGCCGGGTGGTAAAGGAAGTGTAAGATACACACTGAGATTTGAAGACTGGAAACACAAAAGGTAAAACATCTCATTAATAATTTGTACTTTCATTACATGTCAAAATGATAACATTTTGGATGTTTTCAGCTGAATAAAGTATATTATTAAAGTTAATTTTGTCTTTTTGCCTTTTTAATGTGCCACTAGGAAAATTTTAATTACGTATGTGGCTGTCATTGTGTTTGAACAGGGCTATTCTCAACTGCAATTTGGCAACATTTGTCAAAATGTTTAAATGTGTATGTGTCTTTGACGCAGCATTCCCACTTGTAAGAATATACTGCTTTACAGCATTAATTAAAAATCTTCCTGTGACATACGCACTTTTCCCAGAGCACTGCCTCTTATTTTGGGGAGCTCCTTAGTGAAAATTGCATTGTTGACTTTCTGTGGAGTCTGGTTTTTTGTCTGTTTGTCTGTTTGTTTGCAGGGTGTGGGGACTGTTGCAGTATTAGTATGAAGCAAAATTCATGCAAAAATCCATTGAAAACTTCCACATCTGGTAATACATGGTTGTGCTGGAGGAACAGTCTATCTTTCATTAGACAGAATTCATTTTCTTTAAACTATTATGTAATGAGTGACCCAGCCAACTGTGAAATTTCAAATAAAGGGAAAAAAGTAGAATATTTAAATACTTTGACGAAAGACTCAGCTGCAGCTAACCAGACTGGCCCACAGGCGGGACCTCTGTGGATGTTGAAGACATACAGAGTACAGTTGTTCTTCAGGCCTCCAGGTAAACAGAAGAGGTGAGGAGCTGGGGATGGGAAGTGTCTACTGAATTTACGGTCTTCTTTTTCAGGATATCCAGGGACAGTCTCACTGAGAATGTAACTTTTGAGTAAAATACTAGGTAACTGTGTCTTAGAGAAGTGTTTTAGAGAAAATTTGTAAAAGTGAATGATAGATGAAGATAAATATTTAAGCTGAAACATTACAATGTTAAACTGTTCAATAAATAAATTTAATCACACCGCATCCTCAGCACAACTTCTCCTCATTACAGTTCTCCCAGTCTTCTCTTGAACGTGTTTTTAACCTACAGTCAAGGTCATTACAGGTTTCCCCAGCCATACGAAGGTAGTGTTCCTGTGAAACCTTCCATAAGCTGAAGTGGTGTAAAGCGAAGAAGCAGTTACCTATTACAATGCATTTGAAGTAAAGAGATCAGCAACTTAGCTAATAATCAGGGAAATGCAAATCAAAACCACTATGAGGTATCACCTCACAGCCGTCAGAACGGCCATCATCAAAAAGAACACAAGTAACACATGTTGGCGAGGATGTGGAGAAAAAGGAGCCCTGTCACACTGTTGGTAGGAATGTAAACTGGCACAGCTACTGTGGAAAGCAGTATGAAGTTTTCCAAAAAAATAAAAATAAAGCTACCATATGACCCAGCAATCCCACTCCTGGATATATATCCAAAGAGAAAAAAACATTAATTTGAAAAGATACACACACCCCAGCGCTCATAGCAGAGTTATTTATAGTTGCCAAGATACAGAAACAACCTAAGTGTCCATCAGTTGTATAAATGAATGACGAAAATGTGATGATAAGATAGAAAGAAAGAAAAGGAAAGAAAGGAATACTGCTCAACCTTAAAAGAATTGAAATCTGCAATTTGCAGCAACATGGATGGACTTGGAGGACATTATGCTAAGTGAAAAAAGTCACATGGAGAAAGAAGTATTGTATCACGTATATGTGGAAACTAAAAAATATAGCAAGTGAATATAACAGAAGCAGACTCAGAACAAAACAGTGGTTGTCAGTGGGGAGAAGGAAGGGCTGGGGCAAACGGGTAGGGGAGTGAGAAGTACAAATTACCATGTATAAAACAAGCTACCGGATATACTGCACAGCACTTGGGAATAAATGATTTTAAATGAAGTATAATCTATAACAAGACTGTTACCACTGTGTTGTACACCTGAAACTAATATAATGTTGTAAATCAACTATACCTTAAAAAAAAAAGAATGGATGAAGATGGCAGATGTGGATTAAAATATCCCAGTGGAAATACGCAGGTATCAAAAGTCCAGTAAGGTGGGTGAGGGCATAGCTCAAGTGATAGAGGTCCTGGGTTCAATCCCCAGTGCCTCCTCTAAGAATGACTGAATAAATAAAGAATAAACCTACTTACCTCCTCCCACCAAAAAACAAAAACAAAAACAAAAACACCCAGGAAGTTTAAGAATCACCGTTTGATGTTATCATCCTGAAAATGAAGGATGAATGTGATAATCTAAAGTCATTCATTTTCCCTATTTTATTTTATTTGTATTCTACCTTTGCTGAGCTATGATTATAAATTTAAAACTATGTGTATTTAGGGTTTTTTTAACTTAAAATACACAAAACTTTTATTTCACCGGTAACAAAAGAAAAAATTGCAATAGCATCAAAATTTTAAATCATTTAGGAATAATTCCCACAGATTATTTGGAAATAATAGCAAAGACTTATTGAATGTCATTAAAGAGGATGAATCAAAGTGGAGAATGAAACCACAAAAAAATAAACACAGTGCAACTCTTGACACAGTGTATAGTTACCTGTGTTTTCTTCCCACATGGCAATCTCTGTTCTTGCTGGAAAAAGTCCTAAGAAGGCGCTTCTTATATGCAGGTTAGTATTTTATTTCTTCCTCTAGTTGCTGGTTAACTTACTGTACTATCTTTGTGAAATTTCACCTTGCTGCACACTTCTGAAGCATGAACTATTCTGTATGTATATCATGCTTTTAAAGGCTTACTTAAAAATTATAGAACATTAAAGTCATTTTGTCCACTGGCAATAAATATAGAGCTTTAAATGAATTCCACCTTCACACTCCATAGAGGCTCCAAGTGTCCCACTGAAGATACCTCCAGTATCCAGTGTACGGAGGGATTCCACACAGCATCTGTTTCCTGTGGTTAAGCTAATTCATCACCAGGGGTGTTTTTGTCAAGAGTCTGTGAGTTGGAGGCTGGAGGCTGTGGATCAGTGTTATTCTCCAAGCTGTGTCGGATCCCATATCCAAAGTA